AATTAAATAAGCGGGGGGCGGCCAAAATTGTTTTTGCTTTGGGCGGCAAAAATCCTAGAGCCGGCCCTGATGAGAGATACTGATCATCCTCAACTTCCATTGACTTCAGTGGAGGTGGAGAGCACTCAGCTTTTTGAAGTACTGGGCCCTTGGCAAATAACCTCTGTTATTTCTCAGCTAAATGTTCTTTGTTCACCATAGATACCCTTGGAACCTGTGTGGTGTTTGAAGAAAATGCAGAGCATGGTAAATGATACATCTTGTATGTTTTGGTTTGTATCTGAGATGAAGCTGTAAGGTTCAGATAATTTTCATGTTTCAGATGATGTGGATGTTCACTAAAATGAATCAATTAATTTTTATTTATAGTGGACGCAGAAGGAAACCAAAAACTACAGCTGAAATATAAGTGCCACACGGTGAAGAAGCTGAACATGACACGGACGCTTCTGACTGAAAAGAAGGAAGGAGAAGAGAGTGTAGGTTAGTGCACTTGGGAACATGTGAGGTCATGCTAGGACTAAACCTTATCCTTGATAGGAGGCTGAAGACAGAAATTAGTTTGACCATTTAGTGCCAGTAAACATCCAGGGAATTAAAGGATACAAGCTTTCTGTTCTTAAACAGCAAATGATATATAAACTTAACTCAAATTAACTGAACTAAAAATAAATTATAGCTATTTGTAAAGCTTCCTGTGATTTTGGCCATACTACTTTCCATTTTGATATGCATTCTGTAGGCAAATTAAGTTCTGGTGCACTTGCTTCAATGGTGTTGTACCATTTCACAACAGGATTAAATTTTGCCTTTTATCTCTAGGCCGGAAGTCAATGCTGTTTCTGTATTTAGATATTTACAGTAATACTGCTCCTAGCAATTTCTTAATCCCAATTGTTCCTGCTATTTTGCTCATTCACAGGGTTAGGAATAAAGAGCCATTTTATGCTAAATTTATACATATTCAGCTGGAAGATTACATTTTATGGTAATAAAAAGTCATCTTGTGAGCGATCTAGATGTGACGATCTGATCACAGATGGGATGACTTTTACCCATAACATTTCCTCTCCCCACCTAATACAACCTATTGATTTATTAAGAAATCATTCATTTTAAAAGTTAGTGTAATATAGTTGCTTAATTAAAACAATGCCACTTTAGGAAATGTTCTAATTGAACTCTCAAGCTTCCTCACAAGCAATTCAATGTTTGCACATGACAAACACTCAATACTCATACATTTGCCACTTGACACATTTTGATTACTGTATATTGAGATGGTGTGACTTCTGAAGAGCATACTTACATGAGGGAAGAAATACCAGTTCCATTAGTAATCTGTATTTGCAGTACAGTACTTGTTTTTAATAAACTGGTCTACAGACCTGCTGTACCGCTTTTCATTAGTAATCATTCTTAGACGTTCTCAGGTGCCATGTTCCA